AAAAAAAGCGACCAAAGCCACAAGCTGACCAACACCAAAAGGGCGACCACAGCCAAAAACTGACCAACAGCCAAAGACCCCCAACACCCAAAAAAACAAGCTGACCAACACCACAAGCGACCAACACCACAACTGACCCCAGCCACAAGCTGACCAAAGCCACAAGGCTGACCAACAGCCAAAGCTGACCAACAGCCACAAGCTGACCACAGCCACAAGGCTGACCAACACCCAAGCGACCACACCCAAGACTGCCCCAAAGCACAAGCGAAACAAAAAGGTCCCCCCCAAAAACTGCCCCCACACCAAAAAGGGCTACCAACACCCCAAAGCTACCAACAGCCACAAACTGACCAAACAGCCAAAAGGGCGACCAAACAGCCACAAGCGACCAACAGCCCAAGGTGACCAACACCACAAGCTGCCCAAACAGCCACAAGCTGACCACAGCCACAAGCACCACACCCCCCCCACCAAAAGCGCCCAAACAGCCACAACTGACCAAACAGCCACAAACTGACCAACAGCCCGGGCTGCCCCCCCAAACTGAAAAAAAGACTCCCAAAACAGAAAGTGAAAACCCCACAAACCCCCCAACCACAAAATCCCCAACAGCCCTTTCATTTTTAAAACCCCTTTTAAAATAAACGTTTCCCTACATATTTTGTGAAAATAAAATTTTGCTTTTAAAAATTTCTATTTAAACCCCTGATCTTTTTCAAACTTTTACAGACTTTAATTTTGAATTTTTATTTTAAAAATTTTTAAATTTTGATTTTTAAAATTAAGCCCTTATCCAAAAAAAGTACTTTTATTTTTTTAAATAGAAAATAAATCTAACCTATTGTACTTTATTCTTCTACTAATATATAGACAACACAAATTTCATTATATTAGCCCTTAGTGAGTTACAAGAGTGAGTCGGGTGCCATTGAATTTTTTTTTTTTTTTTTATATATATTTATCCCCAGTTGACTTTGCTCTTTCTAGCACAACACATAGAAAACCCTAACTTCATTTTTTTTATATACTATACTCTATATGCCCAAAAAGGGTTTAGCGTATCTTATCAAACCCCCACCACTACGAAATCAGTATTAGAACCCCCACAAAAAAGGATATAAACAACCACATTTAAACCCCAAAGAGAATGATCCTTGACCCGATCAAACCTCCATAATCTAACACACAACAAAACTTATTGGGAAAATAACGCCTTTATTACCAGCATCAAAGCCCGACTTCTGAAAACTGCTAAAAACTATCATTTTTTAACACAAAATCAGGTCCTTAATCAACGCTATGATGACCCCTGGCACCCTTTAGTCACTAAAAACACCCTTTTCCCTGCGTTTTTTACTGAACCGGCTTTAACAGGACCAATTTATACTACCCACTACCAATACCAGCAAACCACAACTGCAGACCATACCAAGTTGGGGGGTTGTACTCAATCTATTCTTAACCAACTATCTTTTATTAGCACTAATTGCTTTAGTGAGAAATGGGAATACATTTTGCTAATTTTACGTAAAAAACCTAAGACGCCAAAAACAATTGGGGCCATAACCGGATACCCCCCACAAACATCCCCAAACTTCAGTGGAATCAAAGTCACTAAAACAACAATAAATGAATAACACCACCTCTCTTAGCGGACTTCAACTCAACCTTGGCCCACCCGATGACAACTGTAACTGAATTTTTATCAACAATATGAACAACACCTTCTCATACCAACAAAACTAAACCAACCACTGACTGAACAAGTGCAACCCTAAAGACCACATTAACCAATATGCAGCCCCCCTTAAATCAGGGGAATCACAGAAGCACACAGACCACTACCCTACCTTTCCCCTTGACAAAAATTTGAAACCCCCTCAATACAACAAATTTTTTTAGACCCATAGAGGCCTCAATAAGGAAATTTTACACAACCTAGAGACTGTTGACGGCCTACAAATTCTCCAAAGCCAATGGGATTGACGATTGGACGACATTTTTTTTAACAAAAAACTTAAATACAAAAAACATTGTCCTATAAAAACAAAAAGTCAGAAAAACGGGTTGGTTCCCATGGGTAACCAGCAGCATTTTGAAACCATTGATAAAAACACCAAAATAAAAAACAATAAACAGGCTTTTTTACACAAAAATTTTTAAACACTGTTTCATCATCCCAAACCCAAATTTAATAAAGAAAGCCCAAAAAACATACACCCAGCAATTCACTGACCCAAGGAGATATAAAAAAAACCCGGAAAAAACTTTCCCCCAAATTTTAGGGGCCCACAAACTGAAAAAACCCAAGAATATTTTCTAACTAAACCTCAGAAACACCCCGCATCCCACTGACACAGCAAAAAGATAAACGACTTCTTCTAAAAAATAGGTCAAACTGCAGTAAAATCCCCCCGTACCAATGCCCTCCGGGACACCTAATGGGAATTTCCCAAATTCCTTCACTTGTACCAAATGAGCCCACGGAAGTCACCGCATCATAAAGTCACTTTAAAAAAAACTTGGGAATCGTCTCACTCCCACCCTTATTGTACAAACGGGGCCCAGTCCTTCCATGCTTTACTTACTTTTTAACAAGTCACTAGAAAAACACTTTCCCTACCACTCAAGAAGCAAGGTTACAAAAAATACATAAGGTGGGGACCCTACAATGTAAAAAACTAAGGCAATATCAAACTTACCCGTGTTTTACCCGGATTTTTCCTGGGGAAAAGTTCCGGGGGGGCAACGCCCCCCGGGGCCCGGGCTTGACCAGGCCTCCTGGGGATCAGAGCCTGATCAACCAGGCTTTGCTGCTGGGGCACGAAACCAAGTAAAGAGCCACAGCCCGCTGTCAGGAACCGACTTAGGTCTTTTTTCCATGCCACTTTAAAACTGCCAGGGTCGTTGGGAATCCCCCCTTATGATGCTGGGGGGCGTTGAACATCTCGGGCCCCCCGACCTTATTGTATGGTCCCTTAAAAGTCAGTGACACCCCGCTTTTCTTGGGGGGGTGTTGCATCGTCTGCCAAAATCTTTTTCTTCGTAGTGAGTATTTTCGTGTGCAAATTTGGGACAGTTCCCCCAGGATTTTCCAGGGGATTAATCATTTTCTCCCCACCTGCGTTCCAGGGGAAAACAGTTTTGGGAACCCCAAGCGCTCCCCGTAATTTGGGTTTTATCTCCGTTTTTGCCCCGTGAAAGTTTTTTCTTACATTTTTTTAGGTCGGCAAAATTTACCTGCCTTTAAAGGTGCGAGTGTGCAGCAATATTTCCAGCCCCAGATAGAACAAGTGACCCGAAAGGTCATCATGGGGTTGCCTCCCTAGTTTTGAAGTTCTCATTTTCCATCCCCATTTTTCTAGCAAACATTGATACAATGTATGGGCCTTTAAGGTGAGATCCCAAAAACTTCGAGAAACTCGTGCACAGGGGAAAAAAAATTTCATTTTTTAATTCACAAAAAATACTCAAAAACCCCCCCTTTGGATCAGGAAAAAAAAAAAGCAAATGAGCAACTATAAAAATCTAAACCTGCTTTACACAGCAGGAAAATAAGGAAATCCGCTAGGAATTTTGATTTCCTAAAAAAGCTTTGACACAGTAGACCAGGCATTTTATCCCCAAACTTGCCACATGGGATAAGAGGCCCTGCCTTTCATATTTTTAAATCCTACCTTTCAATAGGGAACAGTGTCACCATTAAAACACAGCCCACAACGGGCCCCGAACTGGAGTTCCGCAGGGAAATGCCTTTTCCCCGTCTTTCCCCTTTAAAAACAAGATCTTTCCCAAAAAAATCCCAACACCTAAACCCATCTCTTTTCTGACGACACGCTTTTGCATCCCCACCCTAAACTTCCACCCTCAACACCTTGTTAACGAGGTGTTGCGCAACAAAAATAAGTCGACAACACTCTAATTCCAACATAATTGGGGGAATTTTCCCTTGGGCCTATACGCGACAACAACCTAAATTTTCAGCACCCAAATCCAACACATAACAAAAAAAATATCCAAAACGGGGGGGATCCTCTCCAAGATACGATACTACGTGCCGCAAACGCCCTCCACATTATACCATTCACTTTCATACCATACCCCCCTAAGCTATCTGGCTGGGGGGTTTAACTGCAGCAACACACCTAAAAGCCAATAATAACCCAAAAAAGAGCCGCAAAAATAATCACAAAACCATCCCTGGCAACACCCCCCACCCCTTTCTCTTCATAAACTAAACTTTTCCCGTTCAAAAATCCACACTTTCTATGTGCAATCTATACTACAGGGCCTTAAAAACCCCAAAATTAACCTTTACCTAAAACACTTTCTTATAGTTGTACGGGATCCACAGGCATAACACCAACACAAATATCTCTATACAATCCCGCGTTCGAACTAAACCTTTACAAAAATTCAATGAAATTTCAAATGACCTAAAACCCTGGAACACCCTACCTGAAAACTCTAGAACTGCAGACGCATTCATCACTTTCAAAACTACAGTTTAAAAAACACTTATCTCCCTGATCCACCCCGACAACTAACTACATGATAACCACCTGTGGTTCACAATTACACTCACTCACCCACTGACATAATAAACCCCCAAAAATACTAATTTTAATCTTAAAATAATAAATCCTAACTAGTCATAAGTTTGCCTATGATACTCCAACATAGACACTTTGTATTGTGCCAAAACAAAAGCATTCACATTGCTAAACTCACAAATTATGATGTAGTCACTCAGCCTTACTACCATAATCTGCAAGGATTTAATGTTAAGAATTAATCTAAGTCTGCCCGAAATGCCAGCCATGCTAGGTGTCCTAGTGGCCCCCTCTGTAATTAGTATTTTATAACATGTAAACCACACAATACCCAAAACCTGTAAAGTCCACATTGTAACCCTTATAGAGAATAAACTTGAATTGAATTGAATTGAATTGAATATTGTATGTGTCTGTGTGTTCTTGATAATTATTGTATTTCAGGGATAACCTCAACATGGTCGTCGAGGAGATGAAGAACCCGAGCAAGTGAGTACCTTACCAGTATTACTGACCCCACCTCACCAGTATTACTGACCCCACCCACCAAGTATTATTGACCCCACCCCACCAGTATTACTGACCCCAACCTCACCATATTACTGACCCCACCTCACCAGAAATTACTGACCCCACCCCACCAGTATTACTGACCCCCACCTCACCAGAAATTACTGACCCCACCTCACCAGTATTACTGACCCCACCTCACCAGTATTACTGACCCCACCCCACCAGTATTACTGACCCCACCTCACCAGTATTACTGACCCCACCTCACCAGTATTACTGACCCCACCTCACCAGTATTACTGACCCCACCCCTCAGTATTACTGACCCCAACCCACCAGTATTACTGACCCCAACCCCACCATTAATTACTAGACCCCACCTCACCAGTATTACTGACCGCCACCTCACCAGTATTACTGACCCCACCTCACCAGTATACTGACCCCACCCCACCAGTATTACTGACCCCACCCCACCAGTATTACTGACCCCACCCCACCAGTATACTGACCCCACCCCACCAGTATTACTACCCCACCCCACCAGTATTACGACCCCACCCCACCAGTATTACTGACCCCACCTCACCAGTATTACTGACCCCACCTCACCAGTAATACTGACCCCACCTACACCAGTATATACTGACCCCATCCCCACCATATTACTGACCTCCACCCCACCAGTATTACTGACCCCAACCCACCAGTATACTAGACCCCACCCTCACCAGTATACTGACCCCACCCCACCAGTATTACTGACCCCACCCCACCAGTATTATACGACCCCACCCACAGTATTACTGACCCCACCCCACCAGTATTACTGACCCCACCCCGCCAGTATTACTGACCCCACCTCACCAGTATTACTGACCCCACCCCACCAGTATTACTGACCCCACCCCCCCCCCAGTATTACTGGACCCCACCCTACCAGTATTACTGACCCCACCCCGCCAGTATTACTGACCCCACCCCACCAGTATTACTGACCCCACCCCACCAGTATTACTGACCCCCACCCCACCAGTATTACTGACCCCACCCCACCAGTATTACTGACCCCACCCCACCAGTATTACTGACCCCACCCCACCAGTATTACTGACCCCACCCCACCAGTATTACTGACCCCCCTTACCAGTATTACTGACCCCACCCCACCATATTACTGACCCCACCCCACCAGTATTACTGACCCCACCCCACCAGTATTACTGACCCCACCCCGCCAGTATTACTGACCCCACCCCACCAGTATTACTGACCCCACCCCGCCAGTATTACTGACCCCACCTCACCAGTATTACTGACCCCACCTTACCAGTATTACTGACCCCACCCCACCCATATTACCGACCCCACCCCCACCAGTATTACTGACCCCACCCCACCAGTATTACTGACCCCACCCCGCCAGTAATTACTGACCCCACCCCACCAGTATTACTAGACCCACCCCGCCAGTATTACTGACCCCACCTCACCAGTATTACTGACCCCACCCCACCAGTATTACTGACCCCACCCCGCCCGCCAGTATTACTGACCCCACCCCACCAGTATTACTGACCCCACCCCGCCAGTATTACTGACCCCACCCCACCATATTACTGAGACCCCACCCCACCAGTATTACTGACCCCACCCCACCAGTATACTGACCCCACCCCACCAGATATACTGACCCCACCCCACCAGTATTACTGACACCCCACCTTACCAGTATTACTGACCCCACCCCACCATATTACTGACCCCACCCCACCAGTATTACTGAACCCCACCCCACCAGTATTACTGACCCCACCCCCACCATATTACTGACCCCACCCCACCAGTATTACTGACCCCACCTCACCAGTATTACTGATCCCACCCCACCATATTACTGACCCCACCCCACCAGTATTACTGACCCCACCCCACCAGTATTACTGACCCCACCCCGCCAGTATTACTGACCCCAACCCCACCAGTATTACTGACCCCACCCCGCCAGTATTACTGACCCCACCCCACCAGTATTACTGACCCCACCCACCAGCATTACTGACCCCACCCCACCAGTATTACTGACCCACCCCCGCCAGTATTACTGACCCCCACCTCACCAGTATTACTGACCCCACCCCGCCAGTATTACTGACCCCACCCCACCAGTATTACTGACCCCCACCTCACCAGCATTACTGACCCCACCCCACCAGTAATTACTGACCCCACCCCGCCAGTATTACTGACCCCACCCCACCAGTATTACTGACCCCACCTCACCATATTACTGACCCCACCCCGCCAGTATTACTGACCCCACCCCACCAGTATTACTGACCCCACCCCGCCAGTATTACTGACCCCACCCCACCAGTATTACTGACCCCACCCCGCCAGTATTACTGACCCCACCCCACCAGTATTACTGACCCCACCCCGCCATATTACTGACCCCACCCCACCAGTATTACTGACCCCACCCTGCCAGTATTACTGACCCCAACCCCACCAGTATTACTGACCCCACCTCACCAGCATTACTGATCCACCCCACCAGTATTACTGACCCCACCCCGCCAGTATTACTGACCCCACCCCACCAGTATTACTTGACCCCACCCCCACCAGTATTACTGACCCCACCCCACCAGTATTAAACTGACCCCACCCCACCAGTATTACTGACCCCACCCCGCCAGTATTACTGACCCCACCCCACCAGTATTACTGACCCCACCCCCGCCAGTATTACTGACCCCACCCCACCATATTACTGACCCCACCCCGCCAGTATTACTGACCCCACCCCACCATATTACTGACCCCACCTCACCAGTTTTAAACTGACCCCACCCACCAGTATTACTGACCCCACCCCACCATATTACTGACCCCACCCCGCCAGTATTACTGACCCCACCCCACCATATAACTGACCCCACCTCACCAGAATTTACGACTCCAACCCCACCAGTATACTGACCCCACCCCGCCAGTATTACTGACCCCACCCCACCAGTATTACTGACCCCACCTCACCAGTATTACTGACTCCCACCCCACCAGTTTTACTGACCCCACCCCACCAGTATTACTGACCCCACCTCACCAGTATTACTGACCCCACCCCACCAGTATTACTGACCCCAGCTCACCAGTATTACTGACCCCACCTCCAGCATTAACTGACCCCACCCCACCAGTATTACTGACCCCACCCCGCCAGTATTACTGACCCCCCCCCACCAGTATTACTGACCCCACCTCACCAGAAATTACTGACCCCACCCCACCAGTATTACTGACCCCCCCCCACCAGTATTACTGACCCCACCTCACCAGTATTACTGACCCCACCCCACCAGTATTACTGACCCCACCTCACCAGTATTACTGACCCCACCTCACCATATTACTGACCCCACCCCACCAGTATTACTGACCCACCCCACCAGTATTACTGACCCCACCCCACCAGAAATTATTGATCCCACCTTACCAGTATTACTGACCCCACCCCACCAGTATTACTGACCCCACCTCACCAGTATTACTGCCCCCAAACCCCACCAGTATTACTGACCCCACCCACCAGTATTACTGACCCCACCTCACCAGTATTTACTGACCCCACCCATCCAGTATTACTGACCCCAGCTCACCAGTATTACTGACCCCACCTTACCAGCATTACTGACCCCACCCCACCAGTTTTACTGACCCCACCCCGCCAGTATTAACTGACCCCACCCCACCAGTATTACAGACCCCACCCACCAGTATTACTGACCCCACCCCACCAGTATTACTGACCCCACCCCACCAGTATTACTGACCCCACCTCACCAGTATTACTGACCCCACCCCACCAGTATTACTGACCCCACCTCACCAGTATTACTGACCCCACCTCACCAGTATTACTGACCCCACCCCACCAGTATTACTGACCCCACCCCACCAGTATTACTGACCCCACCCCACCAGTATTACTGACCCCACCTTACCAGTATTACTGACCCCACCCCACCAGTATTACTGACCCCACCCCGCCAGTATTACTGACCCCACCCCGCCAGTATTACTGACCCCACCCCACCAGTATTACTGACCCACCTCACCAGTATTACTGACCCCACCCTCACCAGTATTACTGACCCCCACCCCACCAGTATTACTGACCCCACCCCGCCAGTATTACTGACCCCACCCCGCCAGTATTACTGACCCCACCCTCCAGTATTACTGACCCCACCTCACCAGTATTAACTGACCCCACCTCACCAGTAATTACTAACCCCACCCCACCAGTATTACTGACCCCCACCCCACCAATATTACTGACCTCACCTCACCAGTATTACTGACCCCACCTCACCAGTATTACTGACCCAACCTCACCAGTATTACTGACCCCACCCCACCAGTATTACTGACCCCACCCCACCAGTATAACTGACCCCACCCTCACCAGTATTACTGACCCCACCCCACCATATTACTGACCCCACCTCACCAGTATTACTGACCCCACCCCACCAGTATTACTGACCCCACCCCACCAGTATTACTGACCCCACCTCACCAGTATTACTGACCCCACCTCACCAGTATTACTGACCCCACCTCACCAGTATTACTGACCCCACCTCACCAGTATTACTAAACCCCACCTCACCAGTAATTACTGACCCCACCCCACCAGTATTACTGACCCCACCTCACCATATTACTGACCCCCCTCAACAGTATTACTGACCCCACCCCCCCACCAAGTATTACTGACCCCACCTCACCATTATTACTGACCCCACCCCACCAGTATTACTGACCCCACCCCCACCAGTATTACTGACCCCACCTCACCATATTACTGACCCCACCCACCAGTATTACTGACCCCACCCCACCAGTATTACTGACCCCACCCACCAGTATTACTGACCCCACCCCACCATATTACTGACCTCCAC